TTAACTATTGCCTCTCGATATAATTAGGGCTAAAAATTCTCTCCAGGCAGAAATTTAGGCTTCGTTTTATAGTACTGATATCTTTTTTCGGGTGGCAAATTGAAACTGCCTGGCCAGTACAATCTTGCAGTAGCTGAAAAATCTGCTTGAAGATTGAGCTAAAACTGTAAAACAGACAGAGTCGGTATCGTCACATCAGACTACAACAACGCACGGCTCAACTTTTATTTACGTATCTGTGCGTTAAGAATGGATTTGATTTTTAGTGCCACAAATAAACAGACTTCTAGTTGTTGCTCGTAGCGGAGGTGTTAAAAGCCACACCGACTGAGTGTTACTAGCGCGCACTGAAAAATTAACAGCTTGAGAAAATGTACGTAGTGAAAATAAAGATAATTGTAGAGGTAGGATAATAGGTGGGGACACTACAAATGTGGATCACCCTGATTGAATATATGTTGCGTTGAGATGAAGATGGAAAAGGCAGTTTGACTATTTCATGTAGAACGTGCGTCTGTCCATATTGACAGTGCACATGAGGTCATTTTCCTCGCGTGCGAGATTCTAAAATGATGATATTGCCTCCGAGTCAATGCGCGAACCGCTTCAGTGAGCAGGAACAAGCAGCGCAGTGCCAACAAAGATGTGGGTGTGCGCTGCGCGCTTGGCTAAGGGCCACTGACTGAGAACACGTTAAGTACATGCCGGTAACTAGAGGTCTTGACAAAATTATCCTTTGTAAGTATAGTTTCGTGTAAATGGTTTCATGAGAAAAAAAGACAAGAAGTATTTAACAATTGGTGACGCCAGTCCCAGTTAGTGGGGTAGACTTTTGAAGAGGCCACCTCTAGGGCAGTGCTACTACCTTGTAGAGGGGTTACAAAAGTAAGCAGAGCTACCTTGTCGAACCACATCCCACGCTCCTTCTGTGCCTTTCCTCAGATTCACCACCACTATAGAATAGAAATGAAGTTTAAGGTCGTGACAGTGCCTCCGGTCATGGCGGCCGCCCTGTTGGAAAGTTATCTTCGAGACGGCATTGTGTACTGACTCGAACCGCATTTTGTGACTTGTAAATGGCAAGACTCGATGGCAAGGTCTCGGTTAGAGGCTTTTAATTATTTTCTTTCGAGTCAAGAAAGCAGTGAGGTTCATTTTTGTGGTGCAACCAGGCAGATGTCCATACGTCAACGTCAGAAGTACTGAGAAGTGACGGAGATAAGTATGGCTTCACACTGTGCCGGTATTCAGACGGACACTGGGCTCAATGGAGCACGGGAGTACACTTCATGAATTCTCAGTTACTGAGTCTTTTGTTGTGGCGGAATCCTTGGCACACCACATCAGTCGGAGTCCTCATGCATCTTTCCACACACAGTAGCGTCAGCCTAGAGACGCGGCACCCCGTGATCTCACCGTTAACCGATCACTCCGCGCGGCCCACTCAGTCTCTCAGACACACAGCCTCTCTGCACGCGAAACGTTCGCCTAGCTGGGAGCAACTCTCGAAAACGCATTTCCGTAGAACGGAGTGATTCGACGAGAGACGGTGTTACCACCTCTGACGGACGCAAACGAAAATCGCGTTGCCATGGTAGTGTGATTGGTATCTGCACCAATCGAAGCCAG